GGAGCCGCCGGGCGACGTGGGACCCCACGCGAGGCGGAAGCGGCACCAGGGGGCGGCGCCGCCGCCTCCCGCGCGGCTTCCGGCACCCCGAGAGGGCGGCGGCGGGTGCCCCGTCTGCTGCCGTGGCCTCCCGCCGCTTCCCGGAGCCTGCCCCGGAGGCTTCCCGGAGCCTTCCCAAAGCTTTTCTCAGAGGTTTTCTGGGAGCCTTTCCCAGAGCCTTTCCTGGAGCTTTCCCAGAGTCTTTTCAGGGCTTTTCCTGCAGCCTTCCCAGAGCCTTTCCCGGCGCCTTTCCCGGCGCCTTTCCCCAGCACCTTTCCCCGAGCGCTCCCAGGCGGCAGCCCTTGCGCGGGTCCGGCGGTGCCCACCGTGGTGCTCCCAGCCGCTCCATGGCGGTGGCTGCGCCGCTCCGGCAGCTCTGTGGCCCGGGTGACCGCGCTGCGCAGGCGGGAGCCGCACGGTGCCTGACGCGGCGGCCGCCGTGTGCCCGCAGGCGGACAAGCGGGCCCACCACAACGCGCTGGAGCGCAAGCGCCGGGACCACATCAAGGACAGCTTCCACAGCCTGCGCGACTCCGTGCCCTCGCTGCAGGGCGAGAAGGTGAGTTTGGGGAGCGCGACGGGACCCGCCGCAACGGGACGGGACGGCCCCCTGGGCGAGGTCTTTATTTCGCCTGTGTCTTTTCCCACTATTGCAACAGGCATCCCGGGCGCAAATCCTGGACAAAGCCACAGAGTACATCCAGTACATGCGCCGGAAAAACCACACACACCAGCAGGACATCGACGACCTTAAGCGGCAGAACGCGCTGCTGGAGCAGCAAGGTGAGCGGGGCCGGTGCGCGGGGGGACACACGGTGACACGGGGAGACACGGGGTGACACGGGGGGACACACGGTGACACCGGTGCGCCCTGCGTTGCAGTGCGCGCACTGGAGAAGGCGCGCTCAAGCGCGCAGCTGCAGGCCGCCTACCCGCCCACGGAGAGCAGCCTCTACACCAACGCCAAGGGCAGCGCCATCTCCGCCTTCGACGGCGGCTCCGACTCCAGCTCCGACTCGGAGCCCGACGAGCCGCAGAGCCGCAAGAAGCTGCGCGTGGAGGCCAGCTAGACCGTGCGCCCGGACTCACTCCCCGCCCTAGCGGAGCCTCTCGGACTGCAGCTCCCCAGCCCCCCCGGCCCCCCGCGCCCCCCACCCGTGCCCCCCGCCACTTTTCTATGAGCATTTCTATTTATACACGGGGAGCAGCGCTGGCCGGGGCAGCGCAGCGCAGAGCGGCCCCTGGTCCCGCGGGCCACGCTCTGGGGGCCTCGCTATTTATTTTCCGCAATTCCACCTGGCACCAGCTCTGCCTCTGCTCCCGGGGGGCCCAGAGCCGGGCGGAGAGCCGCGCGCGTCCCMCCCGCTCCCTCCTCACCTCCCCCAGCCCCATCCCGCCCTCTCTGCCCCTCCTTGTGGCATTTTCCCAACCTCTAGGCTCCCGTCCCCGCCCCACCGGCGGCCCCAGCCCCCTTCCGATGCCGTTCATTCCATGGATCTACGGTATGTTGTACATACTGCCCAGAGTTGTCTTGCAAGTTAAGGCTTCCCTTTACTATAAGACTATAAATAATAATAAAAAAACAAAACCAACTAAAAGCCAGCCCCCCACTTGTTTCACCCTTGCCCGTTGCTGCTGCACATTTCAGGGGGCAGCTGGGGGCACCCCTGGAGCAGCAGGACATGGACATGKCACAGGACATGTCACAGGGTCCCTGGGGCCCCCCCGTGGGCTCTGGCTGCTGGGGCTCCCTCCCCTGCCTCCCCGCAGGGCCCAGCCAAGGGCAGGGGTCAGTTCAGGTTTATTGATGCCGTTAGGGCTCCTGGCCGCTGCCGGGGGTTAGCGGGGTGCCCGGTGCGGCGAGCGGGGCCCTTTTTGGTATCAGCAGCACCATGAGCRCCGCACGACCTACTCGGGCGGGGGCAGACGCATGAAGTGCATAGCTGCCCGCAGGACCTTCTCCGGGGCCATGTTGTACACAGGGTGCGTGGCCTGCTGCAGGGCACAGACAAGGCAGCCGTGAGCGCAGAGGCTGCGGCAGTGGCACCATGTGGGGCACGGGGGGCACGCGGGCCCTACCAGACGGTTCTCGGCGGCACCCAGCACCAGCTCATGGTGCAGCTCCCCACTGCCRAAGTGCTGCGCAATGGCCAGCCCGCTCAGGCAGTAGCACGTGTGGTAGAAGTCGCGGGACCTGCGGGCAAGAGGATGGCACCACGTGGGCCCCAGAGCTGTCACAGTGCCGCCGCTGGCCCCCTGCATCCATACTCACTTGCCCGGTTTGTCGAGCAGCCCCCCCGCCGGGCACTGGCAGCACAGCAGGATGTAGCGCTGCAGGGCGGCCTGGTCGAACATCCAGTGCGTCGTGCTGAGCGCTGTGTCACCTGCGGGGACACCACGCTGCTCAGGATCCCGCTGGAGCCTCCCTGCCAAACTGAGGCGGGAGTTCARGCCGCTCTGTGCCCAAGGGCTGTTCTGCAGCCTCTTGGGGTCCCGCTGTGGTTCATTACTGTCATGAACCACATGTCACTGTTCATGACCCACAGAACAGTGACAGAGAGGGCAGAGGGACGTGTCTCCCCAGCTCACCGCTGGCGTGTAGCGCGCGGTGCAGCAGCGGCAGCAGCCCCGCCTGCCAGAAGGAGTAGCAGCCATCCACGAGCTTGTTGCAGCGGCCCTGGAAGCCGCCCTCGAAGCGCATCTGGCGGCCGGTGACCCAGTGCTGCGCGGGGATGCGGGGACTCAGGCCACAGCCAGGGCCCCACAGGCACCGCCGCAGCCCCACGCTCACCAGCAGGCCACGCAGGTCCAGCAGCTGCTCCTTCTGCAGGATGACGAGCGCCGCCAGGCCACAGAACGTGTAGCCGCCGTGCGCCTCCATGCCCGGCACGCCGCCGATGCCGCCCTCCCAGTTCTGGCACCTGCGCCGGGAAAGGCTGGGCCCAGGGCGCCGCCGTGGCCGGGAGGGCCCCGTGYGCCCGGCGGGCCGCTCACCTCGCGATCCACTCGGCCGTGCCAGCGAAGAGCGCGGCGCTGGCCACGTTGGTGAGCGAGGCCACGGCGGCGGCGCAGTAGGCGCTGCGCACGTCCACCTCGCCACCCACGTGCATGAGGAAGGAGCCATCGGGCTGCTTGAGCGAGCGCAGGTACTGCAGGAGCCGGGGCCTGCACAGGGCACCGTGAGCACCCTGCCCCACAGCGCCCGGCTCCGCGTCCCATTGTGCCCGGTGCAGACCTGTCGATGACGCTGAAGGCCTCCTCGGTGCCGATGATGCAGAGCGCGTTGACAGCCGCGTAGGTGGGCGCCAGGTGCGGCTGCTGCCCGGGGCCGCCGCCGAAGCCGCCCTGGGGGCTCTGGCAGCGCCTCAGGAACTGGCAGACGCTGCCGGGGATGGGGCAGGGGCTGCGCCAGGGCCRGGCGCTGCCGCAGCGGGGGCAGCCGCTTCCCCCCAGTCCCGCCAACGGGTTTCGGACCCCGCGGGAAGGTCCCACGGGTTTCCAGGGAGGGATCGCGACCTGTCCGCGTCCCTGACGGGGGCGACTCCTCCCAGGAGGCACCGCGTGTCCCAGTGTGTCACGCGCCGCGCGGGCACCCAAGAATGGACGGCATTGACGGGCGCCGCGGGCACAAAGCGCCTTTGTGGTGGCACCACTTACTCGGAGGCCATGGCCTCAGGCAGCGGCTCCTCAAGCAGCTCCAGGCTGTGCAGGATCCAGTAACAGAGCCAGGGCCGGCTGGCGTCTAGGCACTGCAGGAGCGGGGGCAGCCGTGGGGCAGCCGTGGGGCCCAGTGGTGGCCATAGGGGGGCCCCGCGCGCCCCACAGTACCTCGTAGGCCTCCGTGAGGTGCCGCAGGCCCCGCTTCAGGTAGTGGAAGTGCTTGTCGCGCTGCAGGAGCAGCCTGCGGGGCAGGGGCGGCGCTGGGAGGCGGCCGCGCGGGCAGGGCACGGGCAGCCGCGGCCGCCGCTCGCGGGCACTCACTGCGCGGCGCGCTGGGTGCCCTCGCACGCGTCGAACACCTCCTGCACCGCCTCCTCCA